GGGGGGGGGGGGGGGGTGTACGAGATAGGGGCTGGGATGGGGAGCAGAAGCGGTGCGTGCTGCATGTTGAATAAAGGCACGCGAGGCGCGAAAAATCGGGGTCAAGGGGCACGTGCGCTAACCCGTGGCAGTGGGGGAAGGGGGTGACTGCATGGAAAGGCAAGCAAGAGTTGCCGGGGCCAAGGCGTGTGGTCAACAGGCCCTACACCAGCGCAATTCGCTTGGCAAGGGAGGGCCGACAACACATGCAAATTCACACATGCACAAGCGCCCACATATTCGCACAACGCGCGCTCACGCACACACACACACACACACACACACACACACACACACACACACACACACACACACACACACACACGCACACACTTCACGTCACCCTCAGGCTCACTCCTCAGGGTGGTCCTCCGACAGCACCGCCAGCACCGCCCGCGTGCTGTTGGGCTCCATGCAGCCCTGCTGGCTGGCGCGCATGAACGCCTTGGGTCGCTTGCGGTCCCAGGGGAAGCTGTACAGGTCCTCGTAGTGGTGGTTGAACACCTGGCGGCGGTTGGCCACCGCCACGCAGGCAGTGGGTTGCGGTTGGCAGCAATCACGGCGCCAAACGCGCACCTGTCGTTCCGCCTGTCATTCCTTTGTCGTCCCTCAACACAGGACCGGACGCCAGAGACCGGGCGGGGGCGCGCGACCGCTCCCCTTCCTCCTCTGGTGACCTGACCTTGATAATCTGGCTGCCTCACCGGCTCTCCTCGGGCCGCCCAACCGGCCGCACTCACCGGCATCAGGACCTCATTGGTGTCTATGTTGCCCTTCTTGGGGTGCCACTTCTTATACATCGTGAACACGGGCAGCGGGCACAGCCCCTGCAGAAGGCCCAGGCAAGCGGCCGCACGGGAGAGGGTGGGGCGGACTGCGGTCGGGCACGGTCTGCAAGCGGCGAGCGGGGGCGGCTGCCCAAGCCCGCCCACACACCCGCCGGCCCCCTGCGCTCTCTGAACAGCCGCACCTGGAAGGGCCCCGGCGCCGGCCACACGCTCGGCGCTTTTGAGGCCTGCTGAACAACGTTCAAACCCGCTGTTGCGCAGGACGCAGGCACGCAATTATGTTGTGCGTGGTGGAGGCAACAGCATGTGCGTTCATTGCAGTATGTAGTACACACACCTGGGTGCAGATTGGGAAGTCGTCGATGTTCACGATGAAAGCGCTGTCAGGGAACCGCAGCGACTTGGCGCCGTTGATCGCCGCCTCAATGCACGCCATCTGCGCCAATAAGGGTTGTGTGCGTGTGTGGGGGTGTGGTGGTGGGGGGGGGGGGCGTGTACCGCGGGCGTCCCGCCGAGTTGCTTGTCGCGCAGGGGCAGAGGTTGTCAGCGGCGTGAGAGGGGAGCGAGGGGCGGCGGCGCGGCTGCTGGCGGCGAGGGAAAGCCAGGCAATGTGGCTGTGGCGGCTATTGGGGTGTGTGTGTATGTGTGTGTGTGCGTGTGTGTGTGTGTGTGTGTGTGTGTGTGTGCGCGCGTGTATGCTCGCGCGCGCGCAGAGAGTGAAGGCGCGTCCTCAGGGGGCGGCTCACCCTCCAGTGGTTGTCTCTGCCGCGCAGCCAGATGACCTTGACCGCGCCGCCGCGCACCACAACCAGCGCTGCGTTCCCCTCGCCCTGCGCGGGGGCGGGATGGGTGCGTGTGTGGGCGTCGGTCAGGGGGCCTGCGGGAAGTTGGGCTCGGGAACTTGGGCTGCCGCGCAGGCCGTAGGCGCGGGCAGTGGGGAATGATGGCCTGCGACGGCTGGGCGCTCAGGGTCGGCCGGGCGGCAACCTTGCAGGCCTCCAGAGCGCGACGCCGCGTCCCAACGCGTTCCCCCGCTCGGCTGCAGCCCTGCTGGGCCTCCGCGCGCCTGCTCGTGGCGCGGCACCGTCTTGTTGAAGCGCAGCACAAACTCTGCAAACTGCTGGATGGTCCAGTCGCTGCGGCGGAATTGCGCCAGGTCAGCATCTAGGTTGTCCCTGGGGTATGGGGAATGGGGATGCGGAACAACATTGTTTGCATCGGAGGGCGTGCGCATGACCGCCGGCTCGTGCACCGACGCAGCGCGTGCCACCGCGGCGGCGCGCAGCGCTTCGACGGGGGAACGCCTCGGCCGCTCGGCCGCGTGCCCCGCGGGGCGAGTGGTGTGTGTGTGGCGCCATGGCGGCCGTGTGCATGCCCCGAGCAGCTGCATGGGGCTGCAGCGCTCGCTGCACCCAGTTCTAGGATCTCCACTCCTCCCCTTCATGAGACACCCCACCCCTTGACAAAGGGATCCCTCTGCCCAGCAAATCTGCGGCCGGTGTCAACCAGCAACGCCCGCTCTGCACATATGCCCAACCCAATCAGATCCTGGCCCCTCAATCGTCAGGAGACCACGCTCAACGCTGCCCCCGCCAGCAGCGCCGCGGCGGTCGCGCCGCCGCAAAGCTGGCTTGGGCGACGCGGCCGCCACCAGGGAAGAAGAGCGGCGGCCGCCGGGCCTCTCACCTGAACAGCTGCTGCAGATCATCCTCCGTGCGTGCCTGGTCAAACCCGGCTTTGTACCGCACCACCTCCACCACGCCCTCCGGCGGCGGCTCCTGCGGGCGGGGCGCGCGCGGCGCGGCGCGGCGCGGCGCGCGGGGCGGGCGG